AACACAAACATATGAAAAAATAAAATTATAAGAAAGTAAATTGCATTGTCAGTGAATAAATACATTTGTGTAAGGCTTTGAGGTTTGTATGTGCACTTCTTAAAAATGAAATACCATTCTTTCTCAATCATAAGCCCAGTGGCCTGAACATTTGAAATCGGGAAAAGTAAGGGGTGGGCTTATACTCGAGAACCACCTCAGAAAAGTTGATTTTTGTTGTTGTTGGTTTAACATTGTTACCATCTTACCACCCACAAAAAATTATCCAAATTATATCTTTCGTTCACCACAAAATGAGTCGTCATGTAGGACTGGTTGTGAATGCAAAGTAAGCCATTCAATAGTCAACTTGTCTTTCAGAAAAAACGTCCACACATCTCTTAGAAATGTTAGACAGACAAACAGGAACATGGTTGTACAGACTGACAAAAAAATCCATGTTTCGTACTACTGTACGTCTGGCAGACGGCATTTGGCCGTCTTGGATCAAATCGTGAATGAATAGACATACATGACTTCCATGATGTATGTGTGATGTCAATCCATAAGTTCTCGTTCTCAGAATTCGTCAGAACAGGAACTAAAATGTTTGGACTTCCATTGGTGACAGTAAAGCAAGGCACTCACCGAATTCTGTCATCATACGAGGTTGTAACAATCTTGCCGCCTGTTAAAGGTGAAAAATACGCCGCAGACACCGTCTTAGAATGTTCTGTACTTGCTAATCTTTTGTTTATTTTGCCACCTGCTTTCATATTGCGAATATCCCAAACAGCCACCGAACTACAAGTTAAAAGTTCACAAAAAAATTGGTTAAATAATCTAAATTTTATACACTGTATTAAAACCCTTTTAACTCGGTGAAAAACAGCACAATCAGTTTTATGTTGATAAAAAGGCAGAAGCAAGGAATTCAAAACTCGTTTCTGTATGAAAATATCTTAAATCAGCACATACATGTAAATACTGGTATGGGAAAGTTCTGGCGACATTTTGGAGAAGAATATTTTTTTTCTCAAACTGAAGTTGTTTCATGAATGATATCAAGGCACAAAGTTTAATTTGATAAGAAAAATAAGTAAACTATATTGGTATATCTCAACAACAATCTACACCGCAAAAAGAGAATTTTACATACATATGTGTGTGAATTAACTACAAAATCTGCATATATATACAAGTGCATGGCACTTAATGCCTAATACAATTTGACTGAAAACACTTGTTTGTCTTTAAATTAATTAATACAATTTGTTCAAATTTTTATTCAACTTATATTTTTGCCATTTTTATATTTTATATTTTTCAAAGTCACATAGATCCTACCAACTCCTAGACATTTTTGTTCAAATCTAATTACACAATAATTTGTATTGATACATGAAACAATACACATAAATGTGGCAACAACAAAAATAAACTAACATGTTGTTGACACAAAAAATTGGCAGAATTTTTAATCTAACGCTAATAGCAGAAAGAAAATTAAAAAACAAAAAAATGTAGTTGAAAATTTGGAAGCAAAATCATTTCTTGAAATGAACCCTAATTTTGGAGCTAACAGACAAAACTTGTGTCAATTTCCAGTTTTTACTCAAAACATTTGGCTATTTTTGTCCCAATCTTCTGAAAGAAAGTGAAGACTATAAACAGCACTATTTTCGGAATTTGTGATGAGAGAGGGAACTGGTGGTGAAAAGATTAAATAATAAATTTGTTTTGAGTGATTTACTCTGAAGCCATTGGTGTTGGTATAATGTATGTGAGCAGGGTTCCAGGCAAAAGATTAGATGACACAAACGTTTGTGAATACATCTTATTTTGATCAGAATACCAAATTGTGAAAAAAATATACAAGTTTACAGAATAGATAACCATTATTACCAGTCTCTAGAGGATGTAGCAATGTAAGAGTCCATTACAGGGTGTACACTAACAGTTTTAATGCTCTTATCATGAGCTCTGTAAAAGTTTTCAGCAGTCTTCCTGAAAACAAAATAAGAACAAATATATTAACCCTTTGAAAGTCACAATTTTTCCTGATTAATTTTTGTGAAATATTTTATATTCACTTTGAGTGGTTTTGAACCATCAATGGCAACACCCGTTCTCCTTTACCCAGAAATCAGGTACACAATCCAGTAGACCATCATGACATCTTTAATAAAAAGGGATGCCCAGTTTGACTGAGTTTACCATAGTTTTATAATTACTAAGAGTAGGCCAAACAACAAATGATTATTTTGCACATTTACCTGTAATTATCTCTAATTTCTCTGTGTCGCATACGACTTGTTTACCACTTCCGTGTGACTGAGAATGTTCTAGAACCGTACTGTGTCTGGGTGGAATTTTTAGAAACTGGTTGAATAGGTAATGGAACATTCTAGAAATTTGTAGTAAGTTCCAGACTCATTATGTATGCTGATGTAATGGTTTATTTATAGACAGTGTGGGTATATATAGGGGAGTTGTTCAGCACTGAGATCAGATCGGAGATCTCGTTGAATTGTGTTGGAGTTTAAGTATCTAGTTATTGGAGGTTTGGAGTTCTACCGAGTTATTGTACTTGATGTTTGCAGAGTATAATAATACCAGTACCAGTTGAAACCTCATCTGTTGACTCCGTGTTCGTATGTTATCATCGACGCCAGGGAAGTCTTTCTGTTACTGTTGCCATTTTGGTATTTGAACCATCACACCTGTACTATACCAATTACGGTAATATTACGTTGCGTGTGACACTCTGTTAATTTTGGATCAAATGAACATAATTTTTCCGTTGAGTACAGTTCTGAATCAAAATTGATAAATATAAATATTTAAATTACTATGTGGATTTATTTTGTGATTTAGACATACTGCCTGCTGAGTACCTCCAATGACATACCAAAATCTATGGGGGAAAGGGGAGGTCAGCAAGTGTCCAATTTAACCAAGGGTTTCGGCCTGCTACAAACTCAAATTGGCCATCTCCGACTGCCTACGATGGCCTCACTGCAGCACTGCAGAGAACTTTTTAATTTTTTTGGGCCTGTTGTTACAGGACGATGGTCTTAAATACCTTTGTGAATTCGTTTAACCGTATGATGAAAACTTACTTAGCTGTTCTGGTGTCTACCACAGCAATGGATCCTTCATTGTTTTCATTGTGAGCAAGGACCAGGACATCACCACTTGGACTGAGAAAATCAAAATGACTATACCACACATCCAGTCCTACGGTAGATGAACAAACCTGTACAAATAGATATAATATTGAATTCATTCTATGTTACACTATGCTTCACACTGGTAATTAAAAATGTATGCTTTAAGTTGGAGCGAATATAACACCATTACTTTGTAAATTAACCTATGGCCAAGACAACAATTAGTATACATACTAAAATAGACAGTCAGTTTATTTTGTGAACGATGACAAAGTTGACTTTGATCTCAACAAGTTCAATCTTAGCCAATGACTATCGTTTGCAACCTAAGAAGCACTTCCTTGTTCATTCACTTACAACACTTCAAATAAATTGCATTGAAATTCTGGTTACCTCATCGAATACACTTTTTTCAAAATCTCCACATCGAACGGTGCCATCATAACTGCAGGAATACAGTTTATGACTATGTTGCCTTGGTAACTGTAAACAGGTGACTGGCCTTGAGTGAGGTTCAAATGTAAACACACCATTCTGTTTAGACTGGCCATCCTGGAATAGAAAGATACAACTAGTTTGTATATTCAGATGTAAACAGATGCACAAATACAGGTCATGTTTTACCATGTTTTAAATCATTATGTCTGAGGTGATATATTGTGCCATGCTTGCCTAGAATCCCTACATGTAATATTCATTATAATCTCCACCACTCACTAATGCCTAAGTACAATGCTAGTAATATCTCATTGTTTGAATATAGTCTAGAATCTATGCAGTGTGCCATTCACTACTGTATATATGCAACTACACTAAAGCCTAGGTACAATGCTAGTAATATCTCATTGTCTGAATATAGTCTAGAATCTATGCAGTATGCCATTCACTACTGTATATATGCAACTACACTAATGCCTAGGTACAATGCTAGTAATATCTCATTGTCTGAATATAGTCTAGAATCTATGCAGTGTGCCATTCACTACTGTATATATGCAACTACACTAATGCCTACATGTAGGTACAATGTTAGTAATATCTCATTGTTTGAATATAGTCTAGAATCTATGCAGTATGCCATTCACTACTGTATATATGCAACTACACTAATGCCTAGGTACAATGCTAGTAATATCTCATTGTCTGAATATAGTCTAGAATCTATGCAGTATGCCATTCACTACTGTATATATGCAACTACACTAATGCCTAGGTACAATGCTAGTAATATCTCATTGTCTGAATATAGCCTAGAATCTATGCAGTGTGCCATTCACTACTGTATATATGCAACTACACTAAAGCCTAGGTACAATGCTAGTAATATCTCATTGTCTGAATATAGCCTACAATCTATGCAGTGTGCCATTCACTACTGTATATACAGGTATGCCACTACACTAATGCCTAGGTACAATGATAGTAATATCTCATTGTTTGAATATAGCTTACAATCCATGCAGTGTTCCACTCACTACAGTATATAAGCCACTACACTAATGCCTATGTACAATGCTAGTAATATCTCATTGTTTGAATATATGCAGTGTGCCACTCACTACTGTATTATGCCACTACACTAATGCCTAGGTACAATGCTAGTAATATCTCATTGTTTGAATATAGCCTACATCTATGCAGTGTGCCACTCACTACTGTATATACAGGTATGCCACTACACTAATGCCTTGGTACAATGATAGTAATATCTCATTGTTTGAAAATAGTCTAGAATCTATGCAGTGTGCCACTCACTACTGTATATATGCAACTACACTAAAGCCTAAGTACAATGCTAGTAATATCTCATTGTTTGAATATAGCCTAGAATCTACGCAGTGTTCCACTCACTACAGTGTACAGTATAAGCCACTGCACTAATGCCTATGTACAATGATAGTAGTATCTCAATCTATGCAGTGTTCCACTCACTACTGTATATATGCCACTAAACTAATGCCTAGCTACAATGCTAGTAATATCTCATTGTTTGAATATAGTCTAGAATCTATGCAGTGTGCCACTCACTACTGTATATATGCAACTACACTAATGCCTAGGTACAATGCTAGTAATATCTCATTGTCTGAATATAGTCTAGAATCTATGCAGTGTGCCACTCACTACTGTATATACAGGTATGCCACTACACTAATGCCTATGTACAATGCTAGTAATATCTCATTGTTTGAATATAGCCTAGAATCTACGCAGTGTTCCACTCGCTACAGTGTACAGTATAAGCCACTACACTAATGCCTAGGTACAATGCTAGTAATATCTCATTGTTTGAATATAGCCTAGAATCTATGCAGTGTGCCATTCACTACTGTATATACAGGTATGCCACTACACTAATGCCTAGGTACAATGATAGTAATATCTCATTGTTTGAATATAGCTTACAATCCATGCAGTGTTCCACTCACTACAGTATATAAGCAACTACACTAATGCCTATGTACAATGCTAGTAGTATCTCAATCTATGCAGTGTTCCACTCACATCATACAGATATAGTGGTCATGAAAAACATCTTACTTTAGTTGCAACATCTGTAATCTGGTAAAATTAAACTTTTTTAGTTACTTATACAACCAAACAATAATACCGATATTCATTTTGTCTTGAAGACCTTCCACCAGCAAGATGACCAAATTTTATTATTTATTTTAGTTTATATTTTCTACAAAATCTGTCCCATTAGCGGGTAGGTTACTCGCTATGAACATGGATATGGCAATGGGGATATCAACACTGAAACCCTCTAGAGAGAACGGTGCGATTGATTAGATCTTGAAATGTTTTTGGTGATGGGTTAAATGGCAAACACAGTCAGATGAAAATCTTACATTCTCATTACCCATACTAAACTAAATTCACACTTACTACTTCCCACAATCCAACATGTCCAGTTTTGTCACCAGCAAAAAGTAATGTCTTTGATTCTGACGGATGCACAGCTACGGAAAAAATCCTTGATGGAACAACTTTTGCTACATGTTTCTCAGTAATAGACATTCTGGACAGATCAGCCAAGAACCTTTGTTTGGTAAAACAAAAATGAAAAATGTTTGACTAAATGATATGAACTTAGTATTATTATACATCTGTCACCGTAACGCCATAAGTTACAGCGTGCCGTAATTTTGCGGTATTTTACAGGGTATTTTCATCCTACCATATAAGGAAATACGAATTCCAAATATGTAATGATTATGCCCGTAAACGTCCTTTAATAATAAAAACAAACATGGCTGCCATCAGGGTTTGACCTGACTCCACACAAAGAAGTTCGCTGATTCTGTTCTAAACAATTTAGATTTTGGCATTCCCATGATGCATCCTTGGAAGGAAAAGATGTATAATAATAAGGTTATCACGAGAATACCTCAAATTATGCACTCACACAGTACGCCGCGCATCGACATCCCTGCGCGTCAGTCGATACTCCAGCTGTACTGTCTTCGTGCATACTTTGAGGTATCCTCGTAATTTCCTCATATTATTCACAAATGAAACAACTCTTTGAGTGAAAAAGTCAACTTTTGTCTCCATTCACAAAATTTTCTACATTTTTTCAAAAATTTTGATCACAAACTTTATTTAGTATGAAATTATGTCCATTTGGTCCAAAATTATCAGCAAAATTACCAAAAAAACCTATAAAATAGTCAAATTGTTGCACCAAAATTATGGCATTCAAAGGGTGGACATAACTATATAACAAGTACAACAAGCCATGCATGGCACAGTCCCTGTTAGTTATCAAATTTAATATATAGAATTTTTGTTTATAGTTTTATAGCTGGAATATAAACATGTCAGGAATGTGATTATGATGACTGTTCAACATTTAAATGATTAGCATTTGTATCTGATCGTCAAACGAGTATGGGAAGAAATTGCTCTGGAACAGCATTTTTTAAAACAAAATCAGCCATTTTGAATACTAGTACCGTATGTATAATGAATATATAAAATTTTAACATAGTCAGTCAAAGCCTGTCAGAGATATGGCTCTAGAAGCCTATTCATTAAAACAAAATGGCCGCTAGTCAGCTATTCTGAATCAGATCTAAAAAATAAAATGATGTGCATCAGGAACTCATTATGTCTAATGTATGTACCAAGTTCGAACAAAATCCATCCATAAATGCCAGAAATGCTTGATATTTGATGATTTTTTAGCACAAAAATGGCCATCATTCGGCCATTTTTAATAGGATCGTCAAACCAATATATCTGTATATCTATGACATGATGTATATTGAATATTCAAAATTTGAACATACATGTAATCAGTCACAGTCAGAGATATGGCACTAGAACCACATTCATTAAAACAAAATGGCCGCCAGTCGGCCATTTTGAATCTTATTTGAAAAACAAAATAATGTGCATCAAGGTCCTGTAATGTCCAACGTATATAGCAAGTTTGAACAAAATCAATCTGTAAACAGCTGAGAAATGCTTGAATCAGATAGTGAAACAAATTGATGTGCATATGTATAATATCATGTATGATGTATGTGTGAAGTTTGATTGTGATTGGTCCACACACACGGAAGTATGGACGTCAAAACAGGAAAGTTGAAAGCAACAGAAACTGTTAATATTTTGATGAGAGAAATGGTTCTTCAAATAAATGACAAAGAACAAATTAGAATTTGGGGGCCAAAACATAAATTGTTAGAAACAACCATTATTGATTGTCGATCAAAACGCCCCAATCTGATTAAAATAAGATCCTGGTTTGGGCTTTTTTTTTTTTTTAAATAATATCATTCATATTTTTTTCATATATTCTATTATTTATTTTTTTCAAAATTTATTTGCTGGTATTTTTTTGAAGTTTTGGTAATCGCGAAAGCCCACAAGGATCTGACCAAGTACCTATACAAATCGCGTTCAAGTCTCGTAGAATCAGCAACCAATCAGAACTCGTGTTACAAATCACTTTCTAGAGCAGGTGAAGCTTGTGTGCAAAATGAATCAGGCGATATATTGTGAGAAATATGCAAGGACATGAACAAAAATGAGAGTAAATTTTTAATCTCAAAAAAAATATGATCTGCACCCAATAGAAATAATCATGATACACAGTTTTGAATAATATATCAGCTTGTTCATTTCTGTTGAGATTGAATGAGATTGGTCAAAGCATGTCTGAAAAATAGCATGCACACATACAGAACCCAATAATACTGTGATCACTTTGTTGTAGCAAGCCCAACTCTGGAGGCCATTTTGAATTGAAGAATTCATATACAGTTAGAGTTCAGTGAGAGTACTCTCAATTTTTTCCTTCTCACTTTCAAAGAGTCACAGGAATTAAAATTTAGAAGATTTTCAGATTATTACTGTGTAAATTACCTCTCAAAGTCTTTAGAAATAGATGGTTTCTTAGATATTTTATTTTGACAGACATTCTTCACAACTTGACTCAGAGCCGCAGCTTCATCTTCCTCAATGTTGGTTGCGGTCAACGGTAAAGGACCCTGTGCTTTTCGAACCTATCAGAATAAAAGTACATCAGCATGAACCGTTTCCAACAACAACAAATAAAATGTATACATGTTAATTACTAACACAAACACGAAAGTACAGTATATTTACAAAATTAATATACTAATTAACTGTAGTTAAAAAAATTTTTTTATTAATTGGGAAAGTATTCCACAAAGTATTCCTACCCCTACTCGGATGAAAAATGGTTACCCTAAAAACATTTCCTGCTGAAAGCTTACACAAAATGAATAGGGACAAGCCATGCATGGTACAGTCCCTGTTATCATATTTAAGATATATAGTTTTGTTTATAGTAATATAGTTGGAACATAAACATGTCAGAGAAAAGGATCATGAAGCTGATGCTTGATTATGATGATTTTTTAACATTAAAATAATTGACATTCAGTCATCTTGTACCTGATCGTAAAATGAGTACTTGTCTATACTAAGACATATTGCTCTGAATTAAAACAAAATGGCCACGGCCGGCCATTTTGAATCGGATCATCAAACCAATACATCTGTACAGTATATCTATGATATGATGTATAATAAATATTTAAAATTTTAACATAATCAGTCAAAGCATATCAGAGATATTGCACTAGAACCACATTCATTAAAAAAAAAATGGTCGCCAGTCAGCCGTTTTGAATTGCATCTGAAAAACAAAATGACGTGCATCAGGAACCCATAATGTCCAATGTATGTACCAAGTTTGAACAAAATCCATCTGAAAACAGCCAAGATCTGGTTCCAGAATGCAAGAAATGTTGATTTTGATGATCTTTTAGCACAAACACAAGCGTCTGAATGGAGACTAAAATGTTGTCAGCAGCAGGTGAGTTAAATTATTATATGACTTGATTTATGTGAAAAAACTGTTAAAATCATGATAAATAGGAAAGGAAAAACATGATTTTATCATCACCAAT